ATGAGATGAAATGGAATGTCGGTAACTATTGCACTGATTACTTTTTCAAGACCAAATATTCACGTAAAATGTGAAGTACCCGTTTAGTTGAGACTCCCAAAACATTAGTAATATCGATAGTCTAGTAGTATATCATGGAATTTATCAACGATTTTTGACGTGGCATCTTTTGGGGACTTGAACGTTCGGCAGTATTTGTGCTGGCACGATCATAATGTTGATTTGCTTGTGTGAGATGTAATGTACCTATGCTATTATAATCTCATTGTTTTAATAATATAATAATCTTTTATACGATAACTGTCGCATGGGAATCCTTTTCAAAATGGAGTCCATTTCAAAATTTATTTTTGTGTAGTAATTATGAATTACTTTTTTATTTCTATTCTTTTGTATTACATTTTCGATAATAATTTTTACTTTTATTTTGTTTTCCAATTTATATGCTTCTGAATCGTTATTCTTCATTTGTTTTATGATTTTCTGTCTTGCAAAAATTGTTTCTTTATTTTAATATACATTTTCATGACTTCACATACTAAGCACTGTAAGCTTGGAGTGCTTCAAATGGATTGCTCAATCATAAATAATACATGAAATATATACTATGAGTAGCAACAGCTGCCTGCTTTATAAGCCATACTATTTGTGTGCTATCCATTCTACCTAAACATGTGATACTTCGAAATTGCAATAAGAAAAAAACAGAAGAAAGATAATAAATGAAAAAATAACTGCAAAAAAGAAAATTTAAAAACATAATCAATATTTTTTTATTTCCGTTTAATATCTCTAGATTTCTTCGTGCTGAAATTAGTTTTGAAGTCCTATTAAGTAAATAGATATGTTAAGTATATAATTAGTTTTGTCTCATAAAGATGAGCTTATAAAAAGTTATGACAAATATACGTAAATGCTTAAAAAACTTTTATAGTTAAAAGTCTTAAATAAAAATTCTTACTTGATACGGCTTTAATTGACATTAATGGTGATTTTTATTGAGTTCGAGAATTGTCTCGTCTTGAATTATATTTCTCGGGAAGATGTTTATGTTTGCTTATCTTATCTTTTTTGCTCTTGTAGTTATTTAATGTACATATAATAGCATTTACGTAAATTATTAGATGGTATATATAATTCCGCATATTACAATCGCAGAATGAGAATATTTATAGTGTGTGGAAGAGAAGTGCCGGGTATGAGAGAGAGAAAGCGATAGAGAGATAAACAGCAAAGCCTGTGTAAATATAAAAATTAAACACAGGTTATTATGTTGAGTTAAAATTATTCAAACTCCTACTCCTGTAATAATTTATTATTTTTTGCGAATTCTTACAATAATTCCAAAAATTAAAATATTTATAGTGCATATTCTTAGGCAACAATTTATGGAAACCGAACTTGAATTACGGATTTGTATATTTTATTAGCGTTTTCGATTAGTAAGTATACGATAATTTTTTCAGTCGAGATTCATTTAAGTGCAATTTTTATTTTCGATTGGTGAATCTGGGACAATATGTATAACATTTGAGATTAATTTATAGACATTGGCCAGAGGGCAGGATTACCCTGAAATTATCAACTGTTTTATATTATATTTATACTTAACTAATAAAGTGTGGTTTAATTCAATTTATGTATTTATTAAAAATATATATGCATACTCACTCTACTATATAATTGTTAGATTACTCTAAAAATGTTCGATTGGACCTCGAGAGTAAATCTAAATTGATTCTAGATTTATCTATCAAAAAAAACATAAAAAAGTGATTTATAATAAATTGTTGTCGGACATTTATTGGAGAAAGTTGTGAAACAATGAAACTTTTTAGGGCAGATTCCATTATTATTCGCTATTATTCAAGTTATGTAAATATTATGTATGATTGGTATTAATTTTATATGACAAAATATTGTAGAGTACTTTCAGTGTCCACATGACCGACACTTTATGCTACCAAAAAAATTGAAATATTTGTCTTACGATAGTTGGACACCAATCGTAAGGGCAAAAATAAAAGTTATCAAGATGCTTCACTTGGTACGAAAAAATATATTTTGACATTTTGACTAACAAGCAAAGTGACAGGTGAACTGAAGCCAATGCAAGTCACAGAATTTCAGGCAAAAAGTATGTAATAATGAAGTTAGTAGAAAAAACAAAAGCTAGTGTTTGCAGTGACTGCAGCAAATAGAAAAGCATAAGGACAATCAAATTTGTAAAAGAATTATCAAAATTTTGCAATGCATTGAAAATCAAATTGTTGTAAATTGTTGACTGTCAAGTGCACAATTGGTTAGTTGCAACAATCGCAACAATCGCAACAATCGCAACGAAAGTAAGGCCATCAAAAAGAGTGAGTTTGAAATTGCAATTGCAATGCATTGACAATTGACTTTTATTACAGCTGACAATGATGGCTAAGTCAGTTGGTTGTTGAGTTGAAAAAGTTACAAACACTGAATACAAAAATAAAATACTTTAACAATTTTATGCAACTAACAAGCAAAACATATTTAGCCAGTAGCAGTTATTGCAGTTGCAATGGAAGCAAATATTTTTGGTACTAGAAAATTTTGATTTTCTGCAAAGGCACTTTATCTGCACTAGACAAATACTTTTATTTCATTGCATTGAAATGTTGTATTTGCTTGCTGATAGTAGAAAAACTCAAATTATTTTGCACTTGCAATTTTTGCTGAATGACATAATTTCCGGCAATTTCATCTTTGTTCCTTACTACTTTGCAACAAATTTTTATTGCAGTGCAAATATAAAATTGAATTTTGTATACATTTTTGAAGACAGGAAATTAAAAGCGCCTAAAGTCATACCACAAGACAGCATACGGAAACCTTGTGTAGTGGCTGGGAAGGAAAATATTAAATGTTTGTTATTGTATTATTTTTCCTAACATCGTAATCACATTTAATACCCAGAAAACATTTTTAATAAACGAATTTGTTTTATCGTTAACATCAATCATAATTCATCTTCTTATAGCAACTGAAACCAAACTAAAAAAGAAATACACGATTAAGAGCCAAAGAAGATGTGAAAAATTAGCATTAAAACTTCCTGCAACCGAAATGTATGCAAGGTTTAATTTTTAATGAATTCATTCATAAAATTACTTAATTACCAAGGAGACGCAATGTATGACTTATGACTGCTCTACCCAGCTCGCTGTGCCCGTAGTAGCTATTTTCATTGTGTCGTGTCAGTTTCAACCTTCGTTGTTGATACCTTTTCATATTTTTCTTTCCCTGTTAACAATTTTATTTCTGCCACTTTGTATCTGCATTCTTATATCCTACTTCCATTTTTAAAAATATTTTATTATCATTTTATTTTGTTCTGGGGCTTTTTTTATGCTACTGCTTCCCTACTTCTTAAAAACATTAAAATTTTTATATTCATATTTTTTATAATTTCTCATGCCACTTTGAGTTACTTACTACTTAGCTCCCTTGGCTGGTGCTGAAGTCCCGAGAGTGATGATACTTTGGCGCTGTGCAGGACAAAGTTTGATTTTGTTCCAATTTCATTTGTTCTTAGTATTAAATTGTTTTGTCCCCTACTTTCTTGTGCAACATTTTCCTTTGTTTGCTGGTTTGCATTGTGTTAATAATACAACATAATCCATCCGGGGAGTAATTATTGTGTATATATTATGATAGTGCAAAAATCTGTGGTTTATTTTGCATTTGATAGCATGACAAATTTAAAGCAGTGGCAAACGGTGGAGAACACAATAAAACCGAAGAAGGAATGTATTTGATTTAAATTTAAAACTGAAAACTGAAAGGATTTTTAACGGTTAGTGTTCACATTTTCTTAATTGCTGCTGAAGTAGAATTAAGAATTGATAGCTTAAAAACAATCTTAATGTTAATAATAAAATATTCCCTTCTCTTGCCATACGCTACTTATCTTTTATATTGAAATTTTTGTGAGTTAGTGCAACTGGGCACTTTAACACTTTCTTAGCCGAGGATTTCTATAGAAACCCTCCCTTCTCTTTGACTAATCTATAAATGTTTCTAATTAAAAATATTATATACCACATTTAATACTTATTAACAGTTTATTTGCATGTTTATGGGGGTGGAAAAAAATATTTATGTACAAAATGTAATTAAAATTTAATTCTTATATAAGTATAAATATTTAACTCGGGATTATTCATTTTGTGGTTTTAAAAGTAAAGGTGAGTAAAAAACACTTTCTATTTAGATTTCGATAAAATATATATTCCGATATGTTGTTTAGACTTTCAAATCTTTTCGAACCACAAAAAAATATCTGTGCTAGTGGTAACAAATCAAGTTATCTAGCTGATCACATCAGATAATCAAAGGTAAAGTAAAGGTTGTGTGCGGCATCGTTATGTTGAAACCATATATCTTCCATATCCATATCTTTAGTGGCTCTAGCGATTTGAATTCTCGATTTCTATCGTTCCATTGTTGTTTTCAAAAAAAAACTTTCTAATCACAACTTCAGTTCGAATGCTGCATCATACAGTTACTTCTTGTGGATGTAATGCTCTTTCGACAGTTAATTGATGATTTTCACTGCTTCAGATGCGCCAATTTTGGTTGTAGATATTATCTTACAGGAAAAAAGGGGAAGAAACTTCATTTATTATTATTAAAACTATTGCCGTGAAATCGCTCTACAGCTGGTACTGCGGCCAGAAGAGTTCTATTGTACCAATTTCACGATTAATTACATAAAATCCCTTAAAGTTTTGTTAAAAGATTCCAGAACTTAATCTAGAGACATATTACATACATTCTCTGAATATTTATTTACGAAAGATACTCGTATTTCAACTTATTAAGATAGGTGTACTTATTTGAGTGGACATTTAAAATTAACTAAATTTGTTAGATGTGTTTTCGAGTAGTTTAAGATATGTTTCCATACAAAATATAACATTGTTAATTCCATTATTTATTGTATATTATGTTTCTAATGGTAAAACTACCGTAAGTCTTATTGTGGAATTGTCGAAATATGGTGGGTTTGTAGTCGTTTATTTGGTCGGTTGTTTCTATATCCATATCGCGTTTATAGATCCAAGTCTCGTATCCAGTTACCATAAATTTCAGTTTAACCTGATAGTCACAAAGCACTGTTTGACGGATTTCAACGCAACGTTGATGTTCCAAAATGTTTAGCGTTCTTAGCACCAAACGAGGTTGCATTTCTTGCAGGTACAAAGCATCTTTTAAAATGACGTGGACTTACGCATATGAAGAACATGGACTTATGTTTCTACATATTGGTAAGAGCGAAATGTTTAATTGTCAATTAAAGATTTTCTAATCGCAAATCTTTGATGTCCTTAAAGTGTATTATTTATCAGTGGATGATCATCGAGTTGAGCTGATGATCGTCCAGAGTGATTTCGACTTCAACGCTTTTTCTGCCTTCTTTTAATTGTCATTTTGGTTTCGCATTATAGCATTAATCATTCCTGGTCTGGATGAGGGGGATAATGTAGAAGCAAGCCCTTTGATCCTCGTCGGAATTAACATACACCTAAGAAGAGACGATATAGGTAGTCTGTCTACTGTGCATATAATGCATTGCTTCTTGTATTAGAGATATTTAACGATCGTAGCCACATAATCTGTCCAAACGATTCCGAAACAGTATGACATTGCGCAACATTTTGGTGGTGGACAAATAATTTTTATAATACTTAATACTTTTTAATACTAATAGTTATTATGTGCTACTATTAAAGTTTTCGAATAATTGTAAATACTTCCCACTCTTTTGTGGTCCATAACGGGCTTAGGCAAGCAATAAATATCATGAAACAGAAATGTTTTGACCGCAATTACTTTCCACTCAAAACTACTGCTAGTGCTGATGCGACAGCTAAAACGCAGAAAGCAAGTATACTTTCGGGGGCAATCATAATCTGTGAGTCGAAAAAATATGGGACCTTTTCATTTTTTACTAATGTGCGCATTTACCACTTTTGCGTTTACAAATTTATGATAACTAAAACAAGGAAGCAGCGACAAGGAACTCTCTAAAGTATTAAAAGCAAGTAAGTGTCCCACGATGTGGCAATATTACAAAAAATAAAGAGAAAATTAAAAAGAAAGAAAAACGTTGAAAAAGTAATAGAAAAAATGTACTGCATAATAAATACAAATAAAGGCAAATAAATATAGAAAAGGATTTGCACTAAGGAATATCATTCTAGGCACTGAAGCGCGCTGAGTTCCTGATATACAGGGTGTTTGTATGCGTTTATAAGGACATTGGCACGTGCTGCTGCCAGACTGCGGTAGGCTGCGAGCTGTTGTAGTAGTCGGTCCTGGCAGTTGCTGAAGTTGAATCTGGTTCTGAGGTTGATGAAATACATGTACTCACTTCTGTAAAAACTGAAGAAACAATCAAACGGGCCGTACTAACTCGTGCAGAAAAGACAAAGGCAAATACAAGTATAACTACAAAAGATAAGCGACATTAAAAATGTTTACCAAGACAGCGAGCCGAGACAGGGAAAAGGACAGAGGAGGGGAGGAGGAGGAGGCAACAATAAAAGCAAGAAGAAATATTAAACTTTTATATAAAATTTTTAAGTAAATATCCGCAGGGAAAAATTGCTACTGTTAATTTATAAATAAGGTAAAAGCGTAAAAAAAAATTACAAAAAGGATGTGATAGCAGAAAAGAATTGGTTAAAGTACTTTAAGTATCAAAACAAAGAAAAGGAAAAGTATGAAGGCGTATTTGTTTTCACTTAAAATGTTAGTGTTTTTTTGTTGTTTCTTCCCTTTTTTATTGTGGCTTTTTTTACAGATATTCTTGAAGGATACCGATTACTTGAGGGCAAGCACACGCTTGATTGAATTTAGTTGGGTGGTTATTTTTTCTTCCGATATCCTGATGCTTTGTCCCAAATTTAAAATTCTTGCTGTTAATTTTTTTAATTTAAATGGCTTGAAAATATTTTAGAGCAACGAAAGGAAATGATAAGGGCTTGAGTTGATTTGCACAAAAGCAGAGATTTTTTTCTTTAATTTAAGTTAAGATGATGACAACATTTTTAGGCTATTATCATTATTTTTTGGTATTAATTGTAATTTAAATGTTTGGTTAAGGTAAGATCAAACACATAAACGATTTTGACTTAATCAATGAAGGATAAGAGATAATGCTCTACTTTAATATAATTAAGAAAGAAAATTATATTGAGAATTATTTAAATATTCACTAATATCTTCCAGAATTGTCACAAGCAAGTGAGGCTTTTGACATATTTCTAAATAGTCGCTAACTTCTACAGATTTATATATATGGTATTCGTAACAATAATTGTGTTTTCTTCATAATTTTCAATATTAAAATATAAATATGGTGGCTCATTTAAATTTTTATACTGCGAAAGTTAAAGTTGAGAAACTTTAAGGATACATACTTTTGTGTACCAGGGAAAGGATACATGTTTACAGAATTTAAGCTCATATGTGGCCAGTGTATGCTTGTGTACACTGCATGCAAAATGTATGAGACTACATTTCACATAGTTTCTGTTTTGTTTCGAAAAATGAAAATACTCGCGGCAATTTGAAGGTACGCATGCATAACTTTTCACAGAAAATATTTAACATGTTTGACGAAAATAGTTTTTGTTTCACAAAAAAAAAAACAAAAAAGAGAATAAAAACAAATTGAGTTGTTTTTTAATTAAAATTTTGTGATTTTTCGTTTGTTTTGTAATAATAAATTCCTTACAAGGTTCATTTTTGGTACTCACATTTTTTTTTACTATTTTGTAAAAGTCCCTTTCCGCTTTGTTTAAGGACATTATAATTCAAGTTAAATATTTATAGTACTTTTTTAATACATGCGTATAAAAATATTTTTAATTAATTTAATATATAAATATTTTCGTTCATTGATACTACATTTTCAACATACTTTTCAACATAAGATATAAGAGTCAATGGAGACTGTACAAACTACATATATTCTGCGTTAGCGAAATCTGCATATCTGGCTTTGTGTTTGACGTACTGGGTTCTTCAGAAGGTAATTTCGTTTTTCTCTAAAAACGACAAAACAAAATTATTTTATAGCTACACCCAAAAAAATTAGCTCAAACCACATACTAATTTAAATGATCTGATCATTTTGTAAGAATAATTTTAGATGTTAAAAAAGATATGACAACCAACATGTGGTATGGTGTGACTTTCCACTATAGTCACATAATGATTTTATATTTTGACAATAATATTATATATAACTAGATAACCCGACAAACGTTGTTTTGCCTTATAAATTATTTCTAGTTTCTAGATTAATTCTAGTGTAGACAAAAAGTAACTTACTTATTATAAGTGTGTAAGTATGTGGTATATGTATGAAATAGGCATGGAGCGCTATGAACGAAAAGGAAAATAAAAATAACAAAAGCCAAACAATATTATTTTTAAGTTATTATAGTTTATTTATTAAATTATTAATTTAAAATCAATAGATTTGTATGGTACCAAGTTCCCTGGCAACAACTGTTGTATCTTCAAATTTAAATTGTCTTGGATAGACTGTAAATAATAATAATGATAAGGGGCCAGTAACATTAACCAACAACAGTCGAAGATAAAAGCACTCAGTATGTCTTGGATTAACTGTAAATAAGCGTTCGATTTAAATAAATTGAGACATGCATCAACTGGTGAAACTTGCTTGCGGGGCATCCATTTTTTTGTTTGAGACCATGTGAAATAGCGTGGTACTTGTGAATAGAGTAATGTTCTTGCAAAGGCACCAAAATCATCCGTACTATTACACAATTCAAAATATGCAGTGAGTGTAGATTTAGATGGATTTGTACCACGATCAATCACTGTCTCGTTCGTGAAAAATACACGCTGACCGTTTTCAAGATGGACGGCTAACTGAACAGCTGCTGGATCCCGTTCATGAATTAGAAAACCGAAGATACGCCAAGCAGCTTCATTGGAGCTGATGTACCGACCCTTTTGGTAGAGCGTAATTTCACCGTTTTTGTTCATTGGAGTAGCATTTACATTAGTATTTTCTACTCTAAACACAGCCATATCACTGCCTTTATGGACATACTTGCAAATATATTTGATGCTCTTCACAGAACTGCAAAACTCAACATTTATATGAGCATTGTATGTCTTGCTTAGCAGAGGCGAATACGGCACCACCCGCCATTGTCCCCCATTATCGGGATTTCTTCGACGATATATTGGATATCCGTCGGTATTTGTTATAGTATCATTAGTGAAATCTTTAGAAAAATTTTTAGTACATTTTCCATCTGCCATGCAAGGCGAAGACGAAGAAACGAAGTGGATGTAAATGCTCGATGTACTTGTTGGCGTAGTTACATAAAATATTAAGAAAAAATTTTTCTTTTTCAAAAATATAAACAAAATTTATGTCAAAAAAATAAAAAATTTTTTGTTAAAGCAATAAGGATATTTTTGCTGGGTAGGGACTCCCTAATCACTTTAGCGGTATGAAAAATAGATAGTAGCCGATTCCCAGACCTACTGAATACGCATATAAAATTTGGTAAAAATCGGTAAAGCCGTTTCGGAGGAGTACGCTAACTAACATTGTGACATGGAAATTTTATGTATAAGACCGCAAACAGACATCGTTTGGCCTTGTGACTTATTGATGGTCTTTGCAAATGCGAATCTAATAGGAAATTGAACGCGTTTGAATTAAATTGGCTTGTCTGTGAGAATCATTGGAATTCGTGGCAATAAAACTTTTTCGTTTCGGAACTTGCCATTCAAAATGGTGGCTTCGATAATGTTTTTTATCAATTTTTTAATTACCAATCGCGTACTATTGCATAGCCGTGGTGGGTTCAAATTCCGAAGTAAAATAATCGGTGATACAACTTTCAGTCGTAAAATGTGTGGTGGAATGCCTAGCAAATCCAGTGAGTTTAAAAACTCTGCTGGATAGTTTACAACTTCGTTGGTATCACAAACTGTATCGATCGATTTGTATGATATTAAGTCGCCTGGCAATGTCTGTTTTATCTTGAAGTTTAATTCATCAACGTCCACGTTTTTTTTGCTGCTAATGGCTCTTTCTGCCAGCCACCCATGATTTATATATTGTATGTGTACATCTGGAAATACGCGGTCAATGAGAGCATTTTAGGAATCAACGATAGTGCAGAAAT